GCTGGGACAACCGGACCGAAGAATTGAGCAGGAGTGGCACTTGGACGGAGTGCTAGAACTGGGTGAGATAACTGCCAATTTTTACTAAGAAAAAGGGAAATTGAAGTCTTAAAAGAATTCCTGAACTTGGCCTAGCGGTTATCTGGCATTTTGGGGGAAAAACATGTGCATGGAAAAAAAGAGAAAGTGTGGACTGTAATACAAAAAATCTAAGAGAAAGTCTTGGATTTGGAAACTTGGGAAAAGCAAAATATTTCAAAAAGGGAATAAATGATTTTCGGAAGACAACAATTTACAAGAGGTTTTAAAAAATTACTGAATATTTTGATAAAAAATTGGATTTAATAAGACTATTTTGTAATGTGTAGAAATGGAGAGTGCCATCTGCTGGAGAAAAGAAAAAGTACTGTGATACTCTATTCAAATAGACAAAACAGAAAGCAGCTGGAAATTTCAACCTTGGCCATGTAGAAGAAGATAAATGGACACTGTGTAAACATTTAAGGAGTGATTGTGTTTTTCATTAGGCTATTGGTTTTATTTCCCTTCTCTTCTGGAAGATAGCTTCACAATTGGATTTGACTATTGTTGAATTTGGACAATAATTAATAATCGAGGAGAATATTTTAATTTTGAAGAACAAAGGAATATTTCAAGAAGAAGAGGAGATAAGAAAATTATATAGACTTTAAATTTTGGCTAATTGCACAGATATATAATTGGGCAGATATTAATAACTTTTTAAATTGTCACAAAATAGAGTTGCAGATGTATGAAGAGTTATTTTTGATGCTTAAAAGTATGTGTGAATCTTTAATAGGCAAAAAAGAAACAGAAAATTCATTTAAATTTTCAGAAAAAGAAAATGAGGAGCTGGAAAAGGGAATTTTAGATGAGAAACAAGAAATTAACAAATTCAAGACAAAGTATTAAAAAATAGAAATCAGATAGAGAATATTGTAGAAATCTTTGAGAATGTAAAAAGAGCAGAGGGAAAATTTCCCCTAAAAAAGAAGCAGATAATAGGTAAAAAGGGAAATATCTGGAAGAGACAAGGGTGAGGGAAGTTCAAACAGCACAACAAAAAAAGATAAAAGGAAGCCAGAAGATGAAATGTAATATATGCGAGAGAGAGAGAGAGAGAGAGAGAGAGAGAGAGAGAGAGAGAGAGAGAGAGAGAGAGAGAGAGAGAGAGAGAGAGAGAGAGAGAGAGAGAGAGAGAGAGAGAGAGAGAAAGAGAGAGAGAGAGAGAGAGAGAGAGAGAGAGAGAGAGAGAGAGAGAGAGAGAGAGAGAGAATTGAGAAGTTAGAGCGAGATAAAGGGTTGGGCAAAAAACTGCTAGAAAAGGGGATGCTAAAAAGATTGAGAGATGATGTTTAAAGATGAAGGATGATGAGACAAATGTTAGTAAATATATATAAGATAGATTAATGACTGGGAATGGAAAGTAGACAATATAATAACAATAGATTTTTTGATAGTTTTTTAAACTAGAATGGAATTTTAAATATTGAATTGGTAAAAGAGAAGAATTACAGGATATACTGTGATCTTAGATGAAAGTATTGAATGAAATGGGGGGGAGAATATGTGAGAATAATATGGTAGAAGTTGAAAAAAATAAGATATTGCATAAAATGATTATAAGTGATTATATGATAAAGATGAATGAATAGAACTTGTCTACACTAAATTTTAACAGATAATAAGTTGACAATATTATTAACTTTGTTAACAATGTAAATTAAAATGAACATTTAAAATGCTAACTGTAAAGAGAATAACAACGTTGAAATCATGAAAGCGATTATTTCTGTAAAGAAGAATATGTCTGTGATAAACTACAGCAGATGAAAATAAGTAATTTTATAATATTAATTTTGATAACAATGTAAATTAGGATGAATATTTTAATGCTAATGATTGGGAAGAAGGAATTAGAGAGACACTTCCGGAAATGAAGAAAGATGGTAAATAATTGGAGAAATTGTAATTGAGAAGAAATATAAGGCGTAAAGTGATGTTATTGCAATATAAAATTGAAAATGATAAAAAAAAAATAATGTGGCAGAAGTTGAAACAATAAGGAATGGAGAAAAGTGATTAATTTGTGATAAAGGATTAAGATATATTATGATGATTTTGATTATGTATAAGATGTGATCCTGTCAGTACTCTGTTCATAAAATATGTATGATGAAAGGGAAAATTTTTAATAAAAATTATTTTAAAAAAAGAAGAAGTTGTGGATGCTCCATCACTGGAGGCTTTTAAAAAGAGATTGAATAACCATTTGCCTGAAAAGGTATAGTGTCGCCTGCTTGAGCAGAGGTTTGGATTAGAAGATATCCAAGGTCCTTTCCAACTCTGTTGATCTGTTAATTACATCACTGAAAAAAATAGAAGTGCAAAAGACTATATGACTGATGATTACTCATGCTACTAAAAGATCTAGGACCATGATGGTGAACCTATGGCACGCGTGCCACAGATGGCACACAGAGCCCACTCTGCAGGCATGCCAGCCGTTGGCCCAGCCAGATCCACCGCGCATGCGTGCGTGCCTCCCGCTGGCCAGCTGATATCCAGGTGTCTGCTGCGCATGCAGAAGGGTGGGGTACATGAGACACACACGTGCATGCACAGGGGGGTGCATGTGCATGCATGGGGGTGCAGGTTGGTGCAGGAAGCTTTACAGGCCCAAAATGGGGCGGGGGGCCTCACGCGGCCTCCTCCACCATGCCCCATTTTAGCTTCCAGGTTGGTGCAGGATGCTTTCCAGGCTCAAAATGGGGTGCGGGGGAGTGGGGCGAATGCACAGGGGGCACATGCACGGGGGAAAACTCGAATTGCATTTTGGGGGTTCTGGCACGTGTGTGTGCATTTGGTGCCCGCTTTGGGCACTCGATACCAAAAAGGTTAACCATCACTGATCTAGAACAATTTACAGCAGCCTACTCATTCTCCAACCCAGTCTATTAACACAGACCATCCACCGAGAAAGCTACAGAAATTTCATTTTCAAAATTTGGCCAGAAACTTAACTGAAACAGATGTAAATGACTATCATTTCAAAGTATTTTGTACATTTCTATGTAAAAATACCATGTCACTATTACAGTATGCATCGTCTCATAAATATTCTTAAACTAATTAAAGGCAATAAACTCAACAACAAAAGATTCATTTTCTATAGAGTTCTATTATATTTTTATTAGTGAATGAAAATTAAATAGGCATTCTAGAATAAACTTGAATATGTTCTCAGTTACATGAAGTTAACTCAACATTTTCTTGATCATTTTAAACAAAGAAGAAAGTAAATCTGTTTTACTTAAACTTTTTTATGTGGCTTTTCAAAGCTGAGTTTTGCAGGGCGGCTGCATTAAAATTGCAATGTAAAAATTGTAATTAAACTGAATTAAAATATACAATAAAAATTAAAACAGCCACCCTGGGAAAATAACAATTAATGAAAATATTTCCATGCAACATGTAAATTTTAAATTAACACGAATATATTAAAAGGTTGAGAGCATTAATACATATTTGCCTGGTGCCAAAAAGTTAATAAAATTAGCACCAGAATCATGCAGCTGCTATGGAAAAGGCTTCCACATGGTGACTAATTGCTGCATCTCAGCAATAGGATCTCTTGTGATGGCTAGCTCAGACTCAGAAGAGTCTGAAATGAGGAAGTTGCTAAAGATGCTCAAGACAAATATAAGCCTTAAAAGAAGCTTAGCAACTAGGCACCTGAGGCTGACATGATTGAGAAACATTCAAGTCAGCTGGAAGCAGAGGTAGGCTGGATCCAAGATCTCCCCCCACCCCTCGCCCCCACTAGACCATGCTGAACTGTGTGCAGAGGAGAACAGAACAGATCAGTGTCACCCTTTCCATGGCAAGGGCATTTCTGCCCTTGATGCCTAGCACAGGATCCATTTAAGAGCCAGCACTGTCCGGTAATTCTGTTGGGAGTAACTGCTCTGCTTGCTGGAATACTATGCATTTGCATCCTGAGCCTGTTGCCTGAGACAACTCTACTTCTTGGAACCAGGCTCTGCAGACACACATTTGGATTTTTGAATTGTAACCTGTTTCTGCTCCCCATTTTGCATTCTGGCTATTTGGAGCTCATTGTAGACAAATAGCCTGGGAATCTGAGGCTTTGCTGATTTTGTGCATTCAACAATATTTTGGTGTGGCACCAATTATAGAGAAGATGAGAGAAGGCAACTCCACAGGTATGGACATGTCCTAAGAGCAGCACCTTCCAGCGTTGCCAAGACTGCCTACCAACTAGAAGTCAATGGCCGGCGACCTCACGGGCACCTAAAATACAGATGGCAAGGCAACACCAACAAAGATATGGAAGCCACGGGCCTGCGCCTTGGAGACACAGCTGACCCTGCAAACTGGCGTTCAATGATCCGAAAAGCGGACCTTGCACTTGTGGGAATACGCTAGGAAGAAGATTTGCACAAAAGCTGTGCCTGTCATTGCCTATATTTACTAAGTTCTAAGTAAAGCTTTTACTTCTCAAGATTGTGTGTGTATGTGTGTTCATGGGGATATGTGCGTATGTCTGGCCAGGGACAGACATTTCCGAAAACAACCTTCAGGCACAGGTAGAAACATCCAGGAAGAGACCATTGGAGTTGGGTAGCTTATAACTTTAAATAAATAAATAAAAATCCTTCCCATAACATGGTCTCATGCCCTAAAGGGCTTTATAGATTAATATTAGCACTTGAATGTGGATTGCAATGAACTGAGAGCCAGAGAAGAATACGGAAAGGTGACTTAATATTTTCACAATACCCAGTTCTAATCAGTATTCCTGCTGCTGTATTTTGGACTGCTTGAAGTTTTCAGATCATCCTCAAGGGCAGTTCCATATAGAACATATTGCAATAATCTAAACCATAATTTACTAGCACGCAGATTACTGAATCAAGGCTAGGTAGGGCAGAGCTGAACATTTTTAAAACGCTTACCTGTTTTCTCTTCTACTGTTTTTACAGCAATAACATTTTTCTCCATGGGACTGGGATACTAGAGAAAAATACAAAGTGTAAATATCAGAAATTATTATTCAGTAGAAGAAAATCTCCCCAAATTATTTACCTATAAACTTTTAATTTAACAATTAATCAATTGAATGGCTTGCCTCCAGACGTTGTAGATGTTCTAACACTGGAGACTTTAGGAAGAGATTGGACAACCATTTGTCTGAAGTAGTATAGTGTCTCCTGCTTGAGCAAGGGGGTGGACTAGAAGACCTTCAAGGTGCCTTCCAACTCTGTTATTGTTAAACATTTTTTCTTTATTTTTCAACATGGAGAAGGGATGTTAATTTATGCCAATATATTTGCTGTGACTGTTGATTAATTATGAAATATTTTCGGGAGCCAGAATCAAGAAAAATACCAAAATGTTCTGACTCAGTTACAGTGAGGATAGGTGCACCATTGGGAGACTTGAAAGAACAGATTGGGGATAGATTATCATGGAGAAAATTTATCTATGTCAGGGGTGTCAAGCTCGTGCCATCATGGCATCATCACGTGACGTATCATGGCTTTTTTTCCCCTTCGCTAAACCGGGTATGGGCGTGGCCAGTGTATGACACATCTGGGCCGTGTGCCAGGAGTTTGACACCCCTAATCTATATGGTCACTAAGAATTGAAAAGAATTTGATGGCACATATCAATCAATCAATCTGTTCTGAATTTCAACTGTTTGAAATTCAAAGCATTCCATTTTGAGTATGATATTGCCATTTGGGTTTATTTAGTGAGCTCAAGGCTTCTAAAGTTGCCAAAATAAATCATTTCACAATTTAAACTCAAAGTATTACACAACATGCTGCAATACTTTTATTACTGAATTTTAGTAATTCGTTGCATGACAGTGCAATCCAATATTCATCCAATATAGGAGATGATTTTAGCAAATTTCTGTTGCTAACTGAGACATTTGTTAAGTGTATTTTGGCCCATTTTACAACCTTTCTTGCTACAGTTGTTAAATGAATCACTACAGTTGTTAAATTAATGACACAGTTGTTAAGTGAATCTGGTTTCCCCATTGACTTTGCTGGTCCGAAGGTTGCAAAAGGGGATCACATGACCTGAGGACATTGCAACCATCATAAATATGAGTCAGTTGCCAGGTGTCTGAATTTTGATCACGTGACCATGGGCATGCTGCAAAATAGCCTTAAGTCACTTTTTTCAGTACCATTGTAACTTCGAACGGTTACTAATTGAAATATTGTAAGTTGAGGACTACCTCAGAAGAACCACATATGCAGCTTACTTATTTAAAGTGAATACAAAACAGTGGAGGATTGCTACCAGTTTGCCTCAGATCGGGCGAACCAGTAGCGGTGATGGCGGGAGGCTCCGCCTACCCACCCGGACATCTCTATGCATGCGCAGAAGGGTCGCGCAAGTGAGCGCATGAGCGAACCAGTAGCAAACTAAATTGAAATCCACTACTGATACAAAAGCCTTCCCCAGCAATGTTGGGTAGGGTGAGGTGAGGTAATGCATTATATTAAGATGACATGAGAAGGCTTGGTATGGATGCAGCAGAAACCTCTTCAACAATACCACATATAAGAGACCTTACAAATGGAGAAAGGGTGAGAGAGTGCATTATCGTTGCCCCTACTTTGTACATCTACCATAAATTCAGCTGTACAAATCTTTCCAAAGCATATTACACTTCGAGTTTCAAATCAAACAGGCAGCTGTACTTGAACTCCAGCAAACAAAAGCACAATTCTTTAGCGCTCTGTCTGAATATATAGAGGTTAGAGAAAATAGGAAGATGGATTCCCAAGTCCCTTGTTTTGCTCGTTTTTAAATCCTTGTGAAGTTAGGCAAATGGTTTAAAACTGGAATATTTTGATCTTTATTTTATTCTGATCTATTTTCTGGAAATTCTGATCTGGGTTCCATCTTCGAAACTCTGCCCTACCAATGCTAACACTTCAAATTATCATTATTATATCAGATACCTAAGCCACATTTTAAATTTCACACAGAACATTTTAAAATCACTTCTTCTTTATTATGTCAATAAAACAATTGTGTTAAATATATATGCCAAAACTTTCATGGGAAACTTTTGAAGTGTAGGCTGAATTTTAATTTCAAAGAAGGTCAGCCTCTGTTTTAATTTTCACAGTCAAACCACTTTTTTTTCCAATCAATTGGAATTTCCTTAGTGCACTTTGAGGGATCAATTCTCCCTTTTGTGGGCTACCATGAGATCAGAACCATTTTTTGAAACTAACCATTCTGACTTGGAGCAACAAAAAACTTCTGGAGGAAAACAATTTGAGCCACAACGTTGGAAGTATGAAAGAGGAAAGAGAAGAAAATCAAGGTGGAAAAGAAAAGATGGCAATCATAAAGGAAGAAAATAGGAAAGTGGATAGCAAGTCCAAACAGATTGAAAGCCCATAGACCAGGGGTGAAATCTAAAAAATTTTGCTACCGGTTCTGTGGGCGTGGCTTAATTAGTGGGTGTGGCTTGGTGGTAAGGTGACTGGGTGGGCGTGGCCAAGTCAATGTCACTTCTTTGCCCTTTTTTAACCTACAAAACACAACACAACACAACTTTACTTTACTTTTATTTGATTTGTATACCGCCCTACTCCCGAAGGACTCAGAGCGGTGAACAGCCAACAATAAAATACATACATACAAAATTTAAAAAAATAGAAATAAAATCGAATTAAATAGTTTGGCCCAGACAGATTAAAACCCCAATTAATTTAAAACAGATTTAAACTTTGAAGATTAAAAGATATTAAAAATATTAAAATATTAAAATTGTTTAAAAAGAAGGAGAAAGTTAGGCCAGGCCCGCCTGGTGAAATAAAAAGGTCTTTAGAGCGCGGTGGAAGGTGCGCAGATCCGGGATCCTCCGTATCTCCGGGGGGAGTTTGTTCCAGACAGTAGGTGCCCCCACAGAGAAGGCTCTCCCCCTGGGGGCCGCCAGTCGACATTGTTTGGCCGACGGCACCCAGAGGAGTCCCTCTCTATGAGAGTGTACTGGCCGGTGGGAGGCTATTGGTGGTAGTAGGTGGTCCCGCAAGTACCCAGGTCCTGAGCCATGGAGCGCTTTAAAGGTGGTAACCAAAACCTTGAAGCGCACCCGGAAGACCACTGGGAGCCAGTGCAGCTCGCACAAGAGGGGTGTTACATGGGAGCGCCATGTCGCTCACCCACAATGTAAAAGCAGCTGTGCTAGACCCAAAATGGCCCCGCAACAAGCAGGAACCTCACACAGCCACAAAAAGCCCAAAAAACCAACTTTCACACTTTAAACACACAAAATTCCACATACAGCTTTGTGAGATTTTGTGTGTTTGTGTAGTTAGAGTGAAACACTACAGAAACACACTAAATCTCAGAAAGCTGCACAAATATTATTTTATTTTATTTTTATATAAAAGCAGCTAAATTTAAAACTTCCTAAACTTTAAATGGCTAGGTCTAAAAAAAGAACAACTAAAAAAAACCCCAATTAACTATATTTTTAAAGCTCCCAAAGGGGGAAAAAACTTACCCAATAGAACAGAGGTCTCCAACCTTGGCAACTTTAAGACTTGTGGACTTCAACTTCCAGAATTCCTCAGCCAGCTTTGCTGGGAGTTGAAGTCCACAAGTCTTAAATTTGCAGATAGAGCTGCTCACCGATGAGCTTGATTGCAGGCAAGGAGATTCAGTTGCTTGCTGATGCAATGGATTGCAGGGATTACAGCAAGCGAAGCAAGGCAAGCGTTGCGATCAGCAGCTAAGGTAAGCAAGGGGTAGGGGGGGAGAAAAAAAACAACTTTTTTTCTTTTACATGGCTCTGGCGATCCAAGCTGAGTTGCCTGATTAGCAGGCAACTCAGCTGGGATCATCAGAGCTTGGATCGTCAGAGCCATTTAAAAGGAAAAAAAGGCTCTGATGATCGCGCGGCTCAGCTGGGCATGGGGGGCGGGGGAAGGGATTTTTGCTACCAGTTCTCAGAACTGCCCGCCGCCATCGCTACCTACTTGCCCGAGCTGGTCCGAACCAGGAGCATTTCACCCTTGCTATAGACTGTATTATTAGGGTTTTTTTTCTTTTTACGATCCTGTAATCCATTGTGTCAGGGTAGATCAGGGCGACTGAATAGAGCTGAACATTTCCTGCCTGGATACCCTTTCTGATGCCTACACAGTTCGCAACAGATGTTTTCTCTTTGCACCCTAAGAGAAACAGCTGCCGCTGCCTAGGATTGGACTCTCAGCCTCCTAAGTGTGAGGCGAGCATTAACATCCAGGCCACCGCACCACTCCTATAGACTGTATTATTAGAAGTGGTGGAAAAAGAAAAGATGAGATCATGCAAAGAAAAAAGAGAAAATGGGTATATACCGTGGGGGAATATGTTAGTGGTTTAACATCTTTTCCCCATACTTCCTTTGGTCCTTCCTTTGGTCTAACTGTTTTATGCATTTTATCCCTTCCTTTGGTCTAACTGCTGGGCAAGATGAGAGTGGGAATGCAAACTGACTGGCAGAAAACAAATCTTTGAAAAACTGTTGTTGCATAGCATATGCAACAACATATTCTCCACATGTTACACATGCCCATGAGTTCAAAATGGTTTCATACCCTCAACTTTACTGAAATGATAATTTAGAGTTAGAAATGTGCTTTCCTGTAAACAGATTAACACTTGGGAAAGGATGTTAAAAGATTTGATTATGGATAGCTTCAACCTACAGAGCAGAGCTGGTAAAAATGTGCAAAGAAGTGATTATTTAATTATGAGTGAAAGTGTTAAAATATATGTCAAAAGTATTAATTGATGTCAGGTTTTTTTTTTAATTTGATTTATATGCCACCCTTCTCCGGAGACTCAGGGTGGCTTACAATGCGTTAAGCAATAGCTTTCATACTTTTGTATATTTATACAAAGTCAGCTTATTGCCCCCACAATCTGGGTCCTCATTTTACCTACCTTTGAAAGGATGGAAGGCTGAGTCAACCTTGAGCCTTTGC